ACAGCAACTATGAAAGTAACTTAAATTTTGGTCTGATTTTAATGAAAATTCACTTAGCAACGTATTGAAAATAATTAAATAACATAAAATGATATATATGTTGGTAGTGTATTATTCAGCTGTCTCTCTAAAGGAATCATACGCCTGGCAGTGAGTGTCTGGGGGGGACTGCAGCTCTGCAGCCCTATGCACGAGCCGCCACTGCACTCAACTGCAATCATTGCGAGTGGATGAAACCTAATTTCGCTCGACAAGACTTAGCTGTGTTGGAGAGAACTTTATTTCATGTATTCTCGTTTCAACGTGGTTTTTTTTTTTTTTTTTAGTGAAAAGCATTACTTATACAGAACTCTGGGAACTTGGGAATTCGCTCTTGAGTACGATATCAGTTAACACTCCACAGAAAAGTTCGATAGTATTTTATTAAGCCACCCGGTACTTCTACAAGCTACAGTACTCCTTCAAGTTATCATAGGTAGGCGACGTCCACCATGCCAACAGGTAGGCATATTCCAGCCGTCAACTTCAGGGGCTCGCCAGTGTGAGGGAAGCGTGATAAGAAGGTCAAGTTGAGCATATATTATCCGACACGTGGCGGCCTCCCGGACAGTGGTGCTATCTCTTGCTGCTGTCGTGTCAACAGCTTCCTGACTTTGGAGGCCAGCCGTCTGCCTCTGTCCTCTCACACTGGATATGGCTAGCTCCTGCTGACGCCTGTGTCAAGATCTCAGTTCATCAGCACTTAACAGCAATAATTATCTCGGATAAATCCCTATACAGTAAGGTGAAGAAGTACAGACTAATGTGTACACAAGTAAAATGAAACGGTATGGCAACTGATCCGAGTTAAATATCGTGCATTATAAGTGTTCGTCAAGGTTTGTTGATTTTTTTTAATAGGAATGTTAGTGATATCTTTGTGCTTGGATTACCCCCAAAAGTACAGTAACAAAGAGCGATAGATCCTTGATGATGTCAGCATGTGTTGCCGGAGATGCCAGCACGCGCGCTCAAGGTTGGCGGGGCATGATGACTAGTACCCGGAGCTCCTCAGGGTATGGCTGGGCAGACAAAGAGGCGGCGCCAAAGGCAGTAGCAGCACGTGTCTCCTTGCTTGGCTGGTTTGGGTATATACTGGCTATCTAGCTTAATAAGGAGTCTCGTTTTGTTCAGCTTACTCTGTTTTTCGTTGTCACACGAAGGCAACTGATATCTTGTCTACACTGACTATTTATGTCACGTATAGCTGGACAGTTCCTGCTCAGACGTGTTTATATATTTACCTTCCCTGGCTTTGTTGTAGTTGTCACATGTAGCAAGAAGGCCCCTCTCACTATATGTTTGGCCGTTGTCAGTTGCAGCAGGACAACTCCACTCGGACTTGTTTATACCTGCATGCTTGAGCTATTGTTGTCTCGTTGCAAGACAACCCATATTCATCTGTTGGCAAGGGGTCGCCTCGGTGAATAGATTTAACTATGCCACTTGACTGTTATCTCCCTAAGCCATATTTTTTTTAATAAATTGTAACACGGTGACTTTTCTCGTGCCCCTTGCTTGCATGGTTGCATTAGGGTTCTTATGGTTAACCAGACACCTCATTCTTAAGTCCCTCATGTCGCCTTTGGCTTGTTGACACTAAATTAAGAATTTGAAGACCACCAGTCATATTTTGAATAGCTGTATGATCCTTGCTAGTCACCCAATTCACGGCTTCGCAACAGATATTGAAGGTCATGGCGGCGCGTTAGATGACTTATGAATATAGTACACGTCATGAATTTTTATCTTGGTTATCAAGGCCATTTCTGTAAAACTAAAGCTTAAAATTCTTAGTGGTGATCGATCCAAACATCACGAAGCGAAATTGTGTAAACGTCAGTAGTTGTTTTATTTATTATTGAATACGTAGTGATCTTCCTGGACGTGACTCCTCTTCCCCTCACAGCAAACACGGTCTACTTGTACAATATTCACAGCTAAAACAACTCAGAAGACACGCAATTTACCATGCCATATGGATTGATCACTACCAGAACTACGTAACTTTGATATTACAAAGAACTGCTTTGGTAACGATGGTAAAGGTTTAACAGTGAATTCATGACCAGTATACATAATTCACCCTGAGCCTCGCGCCGGCATGACCTTCAGCAAGTGAGGTGGTGAGCGAAGCCAGGCTGATCAATTTCCTTTAACATTCAAAACTCTTGAAATACACACACTGTACCCATATTGTGAAAAACAGATATATACAGTATGTAAATGCTAAAACGATTTTGCATTATATGACACCTATTGTTAGTGAGTAGAACGGAAATTTGAAGCGAAAGGGACATTTATTTCATTATTTTTCTTGTCAACAGAGATGCACATTATGAGTTAGTATGAATATATATGGTTGTCCTCACACACAGCGGTTGTATCAGTTCAATGTTTTCTTTCAATAAGCGTGTGCAGATGCTGTACCTTCCACGCAGTTTTCATGTGTTTGTCACCAGTCTTGATAGTCCTTTCCCGTAAGATGAAGCGTAATAAAAATTTTGTTTTGCGAGAAAGTGTAGGGTCTGTCGACAAAGGCATTGGTGTAGTAAACAATAAGTAAATGCTAAGATAACCTTGCCATCTCATTTCACCATAGACCTTTTCGCCAGCATCCAACTTAGATGTGGCGTTGTATGCACTACTGTAGACTGAATGTGTTGTTGGTATAGGTGGCACTAGCAATTGCGTTGCCCTTTGGAACACTTGTTCATTGTCTTCCAGCTGACACAGTGTGTGTAAGAGCTGATCAGGTGTTGTAGTGAACATTGACTTGGTATTTGAATAATGTTAACCTTTGTGTTCTATATATATATATATATATATATATATATATATATATATATATATATATATACGAATATTGAAGTATGTTATCTACACCAAGACTGGAACCAAATTTAGCATAACTAATGTTAATAAAACTTCAGCAATGCACGTAATAGTTTCTAATAATTTTTATTGATTGTTGGATGGAGGCGGAGGTAATTATCGGTGTGTGTGGGGGGGCTTTTTCACGATGCTCCCGCGCTGAGATGTTTTATTCCCATTGGGAATATTGAAGGAAACTTTGCTGTTGATTTTAATTCCTTGTTTTATAAAAGGAATATTCTCTTTATTTATTATTTTTGTGTGTTTTAAGTAAAGAATGGAAAGCTGGTGTTGGTAGTAATTTAGGAAGACTATACATGAGATTATAGTAGACATGTTATGATGGTAACAGTGGATGTTAGCAACACTGGGACAGAAAGTGAGGCAGGGGGAGGTCTGGCTACATTCGGCAACCACGCGCGCAACCCCCATAGTCAGTCTGCAGGTGCCGGTTACTTATTATTATTATTTATTGATAAGGCTCTTGAAGTGAGAAAGTTAACTTTATTTTTCTCCTTGGGGTTTTGCTGCAGTAATTCTTATAGAAATGACTCTTCTCCTGAGTACTTTGGAATGTGATAACAGAACTGAAACAACATTGAAATAATCCATGTCGTGTTGCCATACGGATCGTCGTTTTTTGTTGGTACACTGGGAATCGCTAGCCTAGATTGTGTTCATTCCTAGTGGGAACATGAGGTTGACGGCTCCGGCGCCTCATCCTCAGAGTGTCCAGGAAAATATCTGACAACGTGGTGTTTCCGGTGAGGTGTTGCGGGACTTCGTGACCCCGACGACCACAACACGAAGAACCAATTCTGGCAAAGCGGTGACGGACGTTGTGTGTTGCCCCCCACACTGTGTCATCTTTGTTCCAATACCTGAAGCTCCCTCTTCCTGATTTGCTAATTATACGTAGCGGCGGCTCCGGCAGCGGCTGTCACTAGTGGACGATAATAAAGGGACTCTTGTTCTGTACGGCACACTCTTTACTTACGCTAGTACCCCTCACCCTACTTGTAACTAAAACAAGTTAGGTTTCGTGTGTTAACTGACCCAAACAAATCTCATGTAAACAAAGGCTTTCCTCCACGCGCGCTCTCTCCCCCCCTCTCTTCATAGAGTGTCAATAGTCAAAGGACGTGAGAGAGAGAGAGCGAGGGGAAATCCAGATGATTTAGGAGTGAAATGTGTAATAAACAGGATAGTTAAAATGCTAAACAAGGCAAACGCGCGAACGAAACGAAATGAAAGCATAGCAGGAGACAAAAGCTGAGGATAAACGCTGCATAATGTAGACAGGTGTAAACAACAAAGACTGGATGAATAATAATAATATTATTAATAATAATAATAAAAGTAATAATGATAAATTTGACATGCGATATTTTGAGAACTGAAGTAGAGGGAAATATCCTATTGTTTTAAGATGAATAATATAGATAATACAGAGTGTTGAAGAATTTCCGACAACATAGGCATACCTGAGACCCCCACCAAGAGGAGCTAACGCAGGAGGAACACAAGAGAAAGAATATTTAGAGACATAAGAGAGAAGGGTTAGGTTAAGTGTTGAATGTGAGAGACATTGTGGGAGTGAGAGTAATAAAGGAACCACGGGAGTGCATGTGAGTGACTGAGGAACAAAATGGGAGCGAGTGAATGTAAAATGAGAGGAAGAGAGGCAGAGACTGGGAGTGAGTGAAACAGCATACGAGAGAAAGGTCATTTGCAAGTTAGATGGTTAATATTGATGAGCCCAACCTACTTCGCCATTCGTTACACATATAGGGAAGGACTGAAGGGTGAAGTAAAAAAGGGAGCGGTAAGAGTGCATAAAGGAGGGAAAGAGCAGTGTTTACGGTTAACAAATTTATTTACAAAGCTTGGAGTACAGTTCGCCTATTCTGAGTAATTCAGTCAGGTCTTGACACTGGGGGTGCGGTGAGTGCATGCGTGAGTGGTGAGAGTGAGTGAGCGAGTGGGACTAGGGGGGAGGGAGGAAGCAAGCTGCGAAGTAGGGGGCTGGGTTGGTAGAGATTAGGGAGGCTGAGTGAGAGATAGGGAGTGGGAAGAATGGGTAAGAGATGGGAAGTGGGGAGACTGAGTGGGAGGTGCGGAGTGGAGAGTGGGAAGGAAGGAGCAGCGATAGTATGTTTGAGTAGTGGGGTGGGGGAGGGAGAGGGAGCGGAGGAGATGGAGGGGGAGTGAGCAATGAAAGTGAATTATTGGGGGAAGGGAGGATGTTTAACTCAGCAGGTTTGTGAAACGATCAAAATCCATCTGTATGTTAGACTACTGCTCCGTCAGTCCCGCATCAGAGTGTCACGACATTTCTGTTCAATCCTCTTGTGTTACGACTCACACAAGTCCCTCTGTAAAATGACCCCGTGACACCCTCTTTCTGTCACACCCTCTCTTTATAACGATAGCTACAGTACATACTATCTCTGTCAAAGCCTCGTATATCTCTAGTACAATAGCTGTCTCTAACACCTCTCTTTGTTACTTCCTCTCAGTCATGCTCTCTTCTTTTGATTCCGTTCTTCACGCGCGACTATTGACCATGCTTCCAAGGTCATTTAGCAGAGAAATTAGTCTCTCTTAGGACAATTTACCGTCTGAGAGGCAGTACTGGTACATATTTAGAAAAAAAAATATATAGTGTACAGTATTTCATTATTCCTTTTTAGTTTTCAAGTATTGACTCGCAACCTTGTATTCAGGGTCACATCATAACCTTACCCACATTACATGACGAATAAATTATAGAGACAAGGCATAGCTAATCTTCCTCAAGTCATCTGTTACCAACTGTTTACCAGAGCTTCGTGTATGTTGGGTGATGCAGTTTTATAGTGTGTGTGTGTGTGTGTGTGTGTACAGGTGGTCATCAAACCAGCGTACATGTATGTATTTGGTGTTCATAACATTTGCTAAAGTTAGAATGCATAGTGGTGATAAAGATAAATGTGCAGAATATATAATGAAGGAATGTATGGGTATGCAGAATGCATAATTAAATGTATGGATGTGCAGAATGTATAAAGAAGGAATGTATGGATGTGCAGAATGTATAAAGAAGGAATGTATGGATGTGCAGAATGTATAAAGAAGGAATGTATGGATGTGCAGAATGTATAATGATGTTATATATGAATGCATAATGAATAATTAAGAATATATGAATGTTGCAAAATTTATAATGAACGAATACCGTATACAGATGTGCAGAATGAATAATGAAGAGTGCATAGCTACTGAATGTACATAAAGTATAATGAAGGTATGGTATACAGTAAAATTAAGGTATTGTTATATGTCTATGTAATATTAATGAATGTACAGAATGTAGTGAATTAGAGATCATTTAATTGTACAGTATAATGAATTAGAGATGGACAATTTTGATGTTTAATGAAGATATACTGTAGATGGATATTTAGAATGTATGGTGAAGGTCTAGATGGATATTCAAAATGTACGGTGAATATACAGAATACATACTGAGGTACTGGTACTGTAGCAACGTGAAATTCAAGATTCTGGAAATGATACACGAGTACAGTAATGGTTTGTTATCTGATGGCATTCGTGTGATTTGTGAGAAATGATTATTATACTCAGGGTAGGTGAAAACTACAATTCACGGCTAAATTCATTTGGACCCTAGCTTGTTACAAAATAAAATGGTGGTGATAAATAAAATGCTTACATGTGAAGCGGGTATAAGTGAGGGCAACCTGTATACAATACAGTATATCTTTGCAAACCTAAATTTGAAGATGATCTGCTACATAAACGGTGGTTTTCTGACTCACTGCTTATGATGAAGATAGAACTGATTGATATGGTATTGAATACTGGGTATTTTATTATGTGAAGAAGTAGCATTTAATGTCAGTGGTGAGTCAGGCAGCCACGGCAGTCACAGCCGATCATCCTCAGTTACCAACCCTCGACCCTTTGATTAATTTGTGGTCGTAATCTGGTGTCTGTTTTTGTGGTTACCTGAGCTGTCCACAGATGGGGATTGGGAGAGGAGGAGAGGGGGGGGGGGATATCCACCACCATCATACAGAGGTACTAAAAAGGATTTAGTTGACACTACGTAACTCAGGAGAGAATTTTTCATTATAGTATTTAATGTATTCACCTAGTTTTATTTTTCTGCAGTTTAATATGTTGTGTAGTACAGGTATTTTAACTTATGTGTGATTAGAAATATGTAAGAAATTTTTTTCTTTTTATATCAGTACTGTATATGTTGCTAACTGTTATTACTGGTGCAACACAGCAGAGAATTATAAATGTTTCCAGTTCCTTCTTGACACATTATAACAGTACTGTATACTGTACTGTAGTTTACAATACACTACAATGCTGCTAAAGACCAATTTTTTGGAAATCTTTAGTTTGACAAAAATCAGTAGTACAGTAGTGTATTATGGTTTTTGTATATGTACTGTTCAGTGCTGTACTGTACTGTACAGTATTGTTAAGTTGGAAAATTGGGAGAAAATTGTTGATCTACAGAAGGATTTGTGGTATATACTGTATGTGAGATATAGGGCTGGGTTTATTTTTCTTTGGAAGTCATTTGTAACCATACTTTTGTCTACCAAAAGGAACTGCAGTTGATAATTATTTTATATTTAATATAATTTACTCTATTTGTAATTTAGTACTGTGTGTATATTTTTATAGCATCCAGTATAGGTACCTTAAAATATCCACATCCTGATCAATACCGGTATCCCCTCATTAAATTACAAATCGTGAATTGTGTAACATGGTGTATTCCTGGCCTTGCCCCTCCTTTCCATCCTCATTGGATGATTGTATGGGGCCCTGTGTCTGGATGCTGTATACTACTATTAACACTTGTCATTGACTTCATTTCACTTGTCACTGTTGGTTTGAAGAGTGTGATAGTCAGCACCAAAATCCTATGTGATTCTATTTTCATTTTAGGTCCTTGTCCAGTGCTTTCTATACCTTAATACAGTACAGTACAATATTAGAATGTAATGCGTCGGTCTGGAATCCATACGGTTGAATGTTTAACATGCAATTTGTCGTTAATAAATGGACATATTATTGTAATGCAAACCAATCTTATTGATGTGTTTTTTGTGGTGTTTTATTTAGCTTGGAAAATGCCTTTGACAGAACTGGAAGCAAAAGAATTTAAATAACAGTAGATTAAATGCATTAATGTACATTTCTAGTACAGTATAGCACTGTACGGGCTTGTATATGTAAGTAAAATGAATGGTTAGCAAGGCAGCTTAGGTGTTATTAAAGGTGATCTTGAGGTGACTGGACAGCCACATTAAGCTGCTTGTGAAACAATTGACTTTTCAGTGAACTTTGCCTCAATACCATTGTGGCAATGTGAAAGACAGTTGACGTTTGGATTATCTTGGAGAATTTTGGCTGCTCTAATAATAAACCAAGGCTATTAAAGCAATATTCAAGATAACCATAATTGCGCCAAGAATTGCTTCAGAAGTGACTACAGTCACTGATGCAATACCCCTGGTTGCTGCTGGTGTAAAATTAATGAGTGGCTGAAAAAAGTTGGCAGTACGGTTCTCACTATGGTGTCATCTATAATTTGTATTATACCATGCTGTGAGACACATCTATTGTTCGCTTCTTCATCTTCTCTTAGACATTGCCATGCAGTGACTTATGGCCCACAGGGATATAATGTGCTATAAATATCTAATGTGAGCAAACTTTGCACTGTAACTTTATTAATGAACAGTTGAATATCAGGATTGTGATATAGCTTGTGGAGAAGTGTCTTCCTCGGTTGACGTGGTGTGGTGGTGCCAGGGTGTGGCAGTGGTCCTGGGGTGTGGCAGTGGCCCCAGGGTGTGGCAGTGGTGCAGGACAGTGGTGCTGGAGTGGTGGTACAGCGCCAACCCTCCTGCAGAAGAGAGCGCAATGCCACGGGGGGCTCAGTCTCCCAGAAGGACGCAGAGTGTTTATGTGGGAGGTAGTGGATGTCGTCTAACCTCACCTGACTTATTGTTGTTGACGTCAGAGGCTTCTACCCCGCCCACACCACGGGAACGACACACTCACTCAGTTGTTGTGTCTCGTCCTATTAGCTTAGCCAGTGATGCCCATGCTGCTGCCTACCTCTACTCCTGCAATGCTCCCTATGCCAGGTACCAATATTTAATGCCACCTGGAGCAACTTGTAATGTTCATTCACATGCTTCAGTAGTAACACTTATTACTGTGTGTTATACATTTATTGTTTCTCATATTGTCTTTAAGTTTTAGCCACTGTAGTTTATTTGGAAATAATTTGTACCAAAGGAAGATACAGTATTAACTGTACAATAGTGATATACGTACTGTACTGTAGTGGTAGCAGTTACTTCAGTCATATTTATTGTAGGTGTTGTTGTAATATTAGATACAGTATTATTGACACCTTTATCTGTTGTACAGGTTTGTAAAGTAGCAAATACAGCATGTACTGCACTCTGCTAATTTGATACAATACTTATCTTGCATATTTACAGTGTTTATATGAGTTATTATTGATCTGTTGGGAGAGTATAGTAGTTTTTTTACCAGTGATAGTCTTATTGTTTTAGTGGAAGCAGTCCTTAAAAGTGACGAGTGCATCTGTTTCCGTAACTCTTAATTTAAGTCATATATACGGTACAGAACTTACCGCCACATGACTGATTCACTGTTATGTATATTTTTAGTGTGAACTTTTTTCTCGTATGTTTTCTAATAAGCCATTGGCACTGTTTTATTTACAGGTACTATGTCAGTACGCCTTCACCGTGTTTAGGCGTAACCTGCAGGATGAAGGAAGCTGAACGTTCTCCTTCTCCGGGTGTGGGCACGGGCCGTGCAGGACCCAGAGGGTCGGTGGCATCACTGAGCTCACTAGGTGGCAGTGTGCATGATGAACTGTTTCGCTCTCCACGACATGCAGAGGCAGCTTTGCGTCGTATGGAAGCATACTATGCCCGGGGCCAGCTCTGTGATGTTACATTGGTGGCAGGTTAGTAAAACTAGTGTGATGAACATTTTTATTTATTACAGGAAATAGATTAGATTGTTTTAAATTTGGAAAAAAACAGGAAATGTCAGTACAGTATTCAGAGATTAATACAAATGTGAAACATGAATGATATGTAATACATTGTACACACCTGTGCAGAATATAATAGCAACCAAATATTAATAGGAAATACTGTACAGTAAAGCTCATGATTAGGGAATACAAAACAAGAAAAGTGCATGTTTTATGTAGAGGGAAAGAAGACCTGAGGGTCAGTTCTGCTTATGACCAGCACAACAAATAGGAGGAGCTTGTTATTATGAAAGAAATTTTGGACATGTTCATATTGACCTAAATGATCAGAAAGTGTGGAATTATACACAGTATACAATAGTGATATCCCTGCTAGCCGGAATGATTAGTACAGAGCTCCTCCGGGAATGAGATATTTCTGGGTATGGAGACGAATTTCTCATCCCCAGAAAAAAAAATCATTCTGGCTATTGGAGAGTTCCAGGGATCAGAGATTTTACCTAAGGGGGAGATTACTGTATACTGTACATGTAATGTAATACATTTACTGAGGGATGTACTGTACAGTACTCTGAAAATTTTGGTAGAATGAATATTGAGATGAGACTAAATAATTGAGCTGAACAAAGAAAGAGGTTGGAAGCAAATGCTGGGTTGATGATAAGTTTATTGTACAGATTTGGAAAGTACCAATTTCAAGAAGGATTAAATGAGACTTGAATGCATCTCCTCATTTTGATGTAATATTAGCCCTGTAATAATTCACATTAAGAACCGAGCAGGTATTTTGTCGACATTAATCTAGTAGTGAAGTGTTGTGAATTGGGCTTATGCCATGTTCACAGGATTTTTTGTTTTGCACTGCACACCTTAGAATACAGTAATGTCAGCAGGCTTTTTTATTTTGGTGTATTTTAAATCATAAATGCTAGCAAATTTGATGGGAAAGTTATTGTGCATGAATGCGCATTTATTTTCTGTACAGGAAGTCGCCGCATTAGAGCTCACCGACTGGTGCTGAGTGCGGCGAGTGATTACTTTGCTGTCATGTTCACATCTCCTGTACTTGAGGCCACCCAGGAGGAAGTAGCCATGAGAGATATGGACTCAGATGCTCTCCTCACCCTGGTCAACTACTGCTACACAGGTAAGTCTCTCTCACTTTGATCTGCTAGTTGGTTCTACAAAATTTTGTCACTGATTCAGTATACTGTACTGTAAACCAGTGGTGTCAAGCTCAAAACCTTTCGAGGGCCAATTCTTATTTTAGTTACCCTCTTCAGCAGGGCTGTGGAGTCGAAGACAAAACCTTCGACTCCGACTCCTCAAATTTTTATGCTTCCGACTCCGACTCTTAGGCCTATTTGTAACAACTATTTCTACCATCCTAATTGTAATTTGTATGTTGTAACCTGCATAGGTAAAAAGTAAAACACCGTGGCTATACTGCTTTATTAATGATCTGGACGATATTTAAGAACTACAAAAAGATGATAGGCTTGACTTTCAAAGTTTCAATCAAAAGAAAAATAAATTTATTAAGAATTCAAGATATTAACTAGAAAACACCATTTACATGTATATCTAAAAGTTCGATCTCAGCATATGAATTTTGTTTAAGCTCATAATCTGATGTGGATCTAAATGATGATCCTACAATTCCTTTTAATGTAAAGTTATATATTTATGCACATTAAAGAAATGAATACCTTATTAAGGAAAATGGATAAACCTTACATGATTAAGTTATTAAATTAAATTTGCCTTAATCTCACCAAAAACAGGTTGTAGCTAATTGTTTTGTAGCTGAGAGCCTCTGTGCAGTTTTCAACGAAACAAAATTTGATATAATTCAAAATTTCAAATGGTAAAGAAGAGACTATCGTCCAAAATTATAGTGCTATACTGTGCCTGCTACAATAAATTCATAATAATGCTTATAAAATGGAAATAAATTCTTTAATAATTTAAGAAAATTAGTGGGATCAGTGGAATCACTGCAATGAATATGCCTGAGTTCATATATTTGTTCTTAGGAACAGAATAGCTTCAGTCGGAGTCGGAGTCGGAGTTCGACACCTACCGACCCACCCACAAGTCAAATTCGACTGACCGACCAGCCCTGATAGGTACTCCTGAATGTGCTGCTTAAGGATCTGTTAACCAAAATTTGATATCTTGATTATAACTTGTTCAAATGGCTTTTAGAAAATGTTCAAATGATTTTTAGAATATTTTGATTACTTTTGCAATGCTAATTACTCGCCACTTATGGGTTTTCGAGGTCATTTCTTGGTGCTTGTGTATTATTCTGGATGTACTTAAATAGTTAGGCACATTAAATTTTAGTTCAGAGAGAAAACGTATTTTTGGTAAAAAATCCTTTAAGGCTATAGACTTACAATTTTCTTCTTCTTCATTTCGCCAAAAATGGATTTTAAGTTCAAAATTTCAGTATAGGTACTCCTGGAATGTGCTGCTTACGATCTGTTAACCAAAATTTAGTTATCTTGATTATAACTTGTTCAAATGGCTTTTAGAAAATGTTCAAATGATTTTTAGAATATTTTGCATCATTTTGCAATGCTAATTACTCTCGCCAATTTATGGGTTTTCGAGGTCAATAATTGGTGCTTGTGTATTATTCTGGATGTACTTTTAAATAGAAGTAGTTACTAAATTTAGTTCAGAGAAACGTATTTTTGGCCAAAAAATCCTTTTAAGGCTATAGATCTCATAATTTTCGTCATTTCGGCCAAAATGGATTTTGTTCAAAATTTCAGTATAGGTACTCCTGAATATGCTGCTTAAGGATCTGTTAACCAAAATTTGATATCTTGATTATAACTTGTTCAAATGGCTTTTAGAAAATGTTCAAATGATTTTAGAATATTTTAATTACTTTTGCAATGCTAATTACTCGCCACTTATGGGTTTTCGAGGTCATTTCTTGGTGCTTGTGTATTATTCTGGATGTACTTAAATAGTTAGGCACATTAAATTTTAGTTCAGAGAGAAAACGTATTTTTGGCCAAAAATCCTTTAAGGCTTTAGACTTACAATTTTTGTCATTTCGGCCAAAAAATGGATTTTGTTAAAAATTTCAGTATAGGTAATCCTCAGTGTGCTGCTTAAGGATCTGTTAACCAAAATTTGATATCTTGATTATAACTTGTTCAAATGGCTTTTAGAAAATGTTCAAATGATTTTAGAATATTTTAATTACTTTTGCAATGCTAATTACTTGCCACTTGTGGGTTTCGAGGTCATTTTGCGCTTGTGTATTATCTCTGGATGTACTTAAATAGTTAGGCACATTAAATTTTAGTTCAGAGAGAATGTATTTTTGGCCAAAAAATCCTTTAAGGCTGTTATAGACTTACAATTTTCTTCTATTTTGGCCAAAAAAATGGATTTTGTTCAAAATTTCATTATAGGTACTCCTGAATGTGCTGATTAAGGATCTGTTAACCAAAATTTGATATCTTGATTATAACTTGTTCAAATGGCTTTTAGAAAATGTTCAAATGATTTTTAGAATATTTTAATTACTTTTGCAATGCTAATTACTCGCCACTTATGGGTTTTCGAGGTCATTTTTTGGTGCTTGTGTATTATTCAGGATGTACTTAAAAAGTTAGGCACATTAAATTTTAGTTCAGAGAGAAAAAGTATTTTTTTGGCCAAAATCCTTTTAAGGTTTAGACTTCACAATTTACGGCCAACAAAAATGGATTTTGTTCAAAAATTTCAGTATAGGTATTCGAACGTTGCTTATGATTCATAACCGGCCTTTAGGTATTCCAGGAATCTTGTTCAAATGGCTTTTAGAAAATGTTCAAATGATTTTTAGAACATTTTAATTACTTTTGCAATGCTAATTACTCGCCACTTATGGGTTTTCGAGGTCATTTCTTGGTGCTTGTGTATTATTCTGGATGTACTTGAATAGTTAGGCACATAAAATTTTAGTTCAGAGAGAAAACGTATTTTTGGCCAAAAATCCTTTAAGGCTATAGACTTACAATTTTTGTCATTTTCGGCCAAAAAATGGATTTTGTTAAAAATTTCAGTATAGGTACTCCTGAATGTGCTGCTTACGATCTGTTAACCAAAATTTGATATCTTGATTATAACTTGTTCAAATGGCTTTTAGAAAATGTTCAAATGATTTTTAGAATATTTTAATTACTTTTAAATGCTAATTACCCGCCACTTATGGACATTTCGAGGTCATTTTCTTGGTGCTTGTATTATTCTGGCTGTACTTAAATAGTTAGGCACATTAAATTTTAGTTCAGAGAGAAAACGTATTTTTGGCCAAAAATCCTTTAAGGCTTTAGACTTACAATTTTTGTCATTTCGGCCAAAAAAATGGATTTTGTTCAAAATTTCAGTATAGGTACTCCTGAATGTGCTGCTTAAGGATCTGTTAACCAAAATTTGATATCTTGATTATAACTTGTTCAAATGGCTTTTAGAAAATGTTCAAATGATTTTTAGAATATTTTAATTACTTTTGCCATGCTAATTACTCGCTACTTATGGGTTTTCGAGGTCATGTCTTGGTGCTTGTGTATTATTCTGGATGTACTTAAATAGTTAGGCACATTAAATTTTAGTTCAGAGAGAAAACGTATTTTTGGCCAAAAATCCTTTAAGGCTATAGACTTACAATTTTCGTAATTTCGGCCAAAAAATGGATTTTGTTCAAAATTTCAGTATAGGTACTCCTGAATGTGCTGCTTAAGGATCTGTTAACCAAAGTTTGATATCTTGATTATA